GAGAACAATAGCTTCAGAGACAGAAAACCCAGAACACCGGCTGACGGGGGAGGGGGCCGCAAAGTGACCAGCAGGAAGAAAGAAGCTGAATTATAGGGAAGGGAGCTGCCTTGCAAAGCACAGCCTCAGAGCCAGCAAAGCAGAAATACTGTTAATCTCCAGGTCACGTACTAATCTGGGGGTGGGAGGGAGTTGAGAGTTTGCACTTAACTCTACTTGCAAAAACATGTAATCTATGACAGCGGCCTCCTGAGTCAGAGGCCTGGATTCAAATCCTGGCCCCACCAGCTCTCCACATTGTTGGGGTACTTAAACTTCTCATATTTTAAGCCGATTATTTACAAAAGTGATGATTGAATGAATGAATGCCTAGAGGCAACTCTCAAGGATATATTTTAGTTGGGAGTGTGTATGGTGTATGTGTGTGTGTGATCCACCCAGCCCCCAGTGGCCACTTCACAAATACCCTTTGAATTAAAACAAATGCAAAATACAATTCAATTGAGGAAGCAGTTACGGAAAGAAATGCCCACAGGAGCCCGGCATAATTTTGTACTTTTAATTTATTTCATAAATGATGGTGTGGCTTGGACAGATGCTTTCTGGAGCATCTTACACACACTGACCCACTCGCCCTCCTGAGAGAGCCCTATGAGATTACAGGTGAGGAAACTGAGGTCCCCCTAGGAATTAAGTAACTTGCCCCAAACCACACAGCCAGGAAGGAGCCACTTGGGATTCAAACCTTCAAGGTCTGGCTCAGTGTCCACGCCCTACCAGGCCTTTGTCTGAAAGTTTGCTTCCAAGCTAAAGTCCAGGGATTGGGAGGGAGTCGAGTTCTCCCATCTGCTTAAAGGGCCCTATTACCAAGGTGCCCAGATACCTGCTACATCTTGTGGCTCACACAGCACCGGCGAGTGCAAAAAGCACACAAATCTTAAGTACACAGTGTGATGATATTTTACTTGTGCACACACCTGTGTAGCCCCCTCCCAGATTAAAATATCAGACATTTCCAGCTCCCAGCAGCCTCTCATATTATAGCCCCTCCCAATCAGCATCTACTGCCCCCAAAGCTAGCCGTCATTCCAACTTTTCGCACAATACACTTGGCCTTTTCTAGAATTTCATATAAGTGGAAGCACAGGATGCATACCCTTTTGTATTTAGCTCTATTCTTCAAATTAAAAAACACATATCTGCTCACAGAGATAGTGGGAGGAAGAAGGGTGCAGCTGACAGTTTCTCTCTCTCCCAAACAGCCACCAGCTTGTTTTTAGTTTGGCTCACTGATCTGTCAAAGAGGAAGGTGGGAAGGGCTGAACACTGGAATTTGGAACTGCAGTTGACCTTGGAGAAACCAGGGGTCCACAGGGGGGAAAGGAGCTGTCCCTCCTGGACAGGGTATTGTGGGAGTGAGAAGGCCAGTGGGTCACTTCTACTGCTTTGGGTGTGCAAGGGGGAAAAGGCTCCAAGAGGCTTTTAAATGCTCAAATCTTGTTCCTCCAACGCCCAGCGCCAGAGTCGCCCCAGGCGGCCACCGGATCCCGAAAGATCACGAATCTCTGCTTCCCTACCTGTGCACTCCTGGATGAACTGCTGGTATTCCGCTCCCTGCTCGCCGGGGACGATGGTGGAGCCGTCATATTTAAAAGTCACCCTTTGGATTGGAAGAAGAAAAAAACACACACACACATCAGCGTTGGTGGGCGCAGCGCTCCCGCAGGACAAGCGAACCGCTGCTCTGGCTACGGAGCAGCCAGCGCTGGCTTTCCACGCGGTCGGTGCTGGGACAAGGATGCAGAAGACAGCAAGGGATGCCCCTTAATCCGTCCCCTGCGGAAAGCGGCTCGGGGAGCCGGGCGTGGAGAGCAAGGAAAAGTTCCTCACCAGATGACCGCCGAGCTGTCGTCGCGCACCAGGTTGTACGCCGCCCGGCAAGCCTCTTTGTCGATCTTGGTGGCCATCGCCGCGGAGCCGCAGCGGGGACACTACCCGCAGCGACCGATCGCACCCCGGGAGTGCTGCAAGGGTCTGAGCGCAGCGGGGATGCGCCAAGGCGGACGAGCGGGCAGGCGACGGTGACCGCGACAGCAACGCTGCACCGCGAGCTCTCAGTGCAGCTGCGCCTTGGACTGCGGACCCGGTGCTCGCCTGGACCCCAGGCCGCGGCCCGCCCCGCCCCCTCCGGCCATTGGCAGCTCAGACCGCGGCCCGCCTCTCCATTGGCCGTGGAGCCTCGGGGGCGGGGCTTCTTCGCTCTTGCACAGCCAATCCAGGACCAGAAGTGTTGCGCAACTCCGTGGTAGGGGCTAGAGGAGGACTTCTTCTTCCTCCAGATTCCTCCTCCCTCTTGCTCTCTTCTCCGCCCTCCTACTCCCCTCCTCGACGCCCCCACTCTCCCTACTCCTTTTCCCTCCCACTTCCGACTCCCCAACCTCTCTCTCTTCTTTCCCTCTCCCGCTCCTTCCTCCCGCTCCGGTGTGCCCCTTCTCTTCTCCCTCCCACTCCTTGTTTCTCCCACCCCCAACCCCTTCTCCCTCCTCCTGGTTCCCTTCTCCGGGCTCTCTTCCTTCCTCCTCTCCTCCGCTCCTCTTCCCTTCCCCCTCCTCGCATCCCCTCCTTCCCTGGCCCTTCCTTCCTTACCTCGTCCTCCCACTTTTTCCTCCCCTCCCCCCTCATTCTCTCCACCCCTGCCCACCAGGCTGCAAGGCTTAGAGCTCCACTGTGGACTTCCAAGAGGATGATGTAATGCCTCCAGCCCGAGAGGACAGGCTGGCCGCGGCCCCCACCCCAGGGTTTGGTTCCCCGGCTTCTAGGTGGGGAGGAATTGGAAAGAGTGCAGCATTTCAAATAGGAGGCGAAGAAAGTGGACTGCTTCCAAAATACTAGTGGGATCACTGTTTACTTGTGTTCTAGTTATTTGCATTCACATCTTACCTCGTCTTTGGGCTCCTCTGAGAGCAAGAGCTGACTCATTCTGTCTTCCTCGTTCCTTCCCTGACTCATTCATTCATTCCCTCACCCAGTCATTCCACAGAGACCAGTTACAGTGAGGGAACCCAGGCGTCGCGTCCAGCGCTGCCACTTTCCAACTGGGGCCTTTGGCCCTCTCTGAGATTTCTTTCTTCAAATGGGAAAATAATAGAATGGACATCACTAGTTTAAGTTTAATCGAAATGATACATAAGGACAAACACATTCAATAAAATGTCATTGTTGTTGGTTATTAAGTAATAAAAAATGAATACTAAATAGAAGCCCAAAGGGTTAAGAGCAATGTCTAATAAATATTAGAATTCCTGGCT